TATTATCATTATATCATCATTATTATAATCATCAGTATTTTTATCATTAATATTATCATTATATCATTACATGTATTATCATCTCCATCATCATCACCGTTGATCATTATCATCTTCTTCATCATCATCATTGTCTATCTATCTCTCCATGCAGCCATGTTCCGGCGCAAGGCGTTCCTTCATTGGTACACGGGCGAGGGGATGGACGAGATGGAGTTCACGGAGGCAGAGTCCAACATGAACGATCTGGTGTCGGAGTACCAGCAGTACCAGGACGCTACGGCAGAGGAGGAGGGGGAGTTTGAGGAGGAGGAGGAGGAGGAGGGAGAGAACGCATAAGCGAGGGAAAGATGTGGTTGATGAAGAGAGAGAAGGGGACAGAGGAAGGAGAGAACGCATAAGCGAGGGAAAGATGTGGTTGATGAAGAGAGAGAAGGGGACAGAGGAAGGAGAGAATGCATAAGCGAGGGGAAGATGTGATGGCAGATGAAGAGGGGAGGTCGGGGAAGGAAAGAACGCATAACGAGGGAAATGTGTGACGGTAGATGAAGAGAGAGAAAAGGACACTGAGGAAGGAGAGAACGAATAACGAGGGAAAGATTTGGTGCTAGATGAAGAGAGAAAGGGACAGACAGAGGAAGGAGAGAATGAATAACGAGGAAAAGATGTGGAAGATGAAGAGGGGGAAAGAAAGAGAGAGAGAGAGAGAGAGAGAGAGAGAGAGAGAGAGACCGTGAGAGAGAAAGTGGGAGAGAGAGAGACAGAAACAGACAGACAGACAGAGAGACAGACAGAAAGATAGACCCCTTAAGTTGTACTATGATACAAAAACCTGACGAAAGACAACTGAACAGGGACCGGCTACAACACGTGATAATGGTTGTCTCTCATTGGTGAAAATGTATAAAATGGTTGTCTCTCATTGGTGAAAATGTATAAAATGGATGTCTCTCATTGCCATGCAAATGTATAAAACGGTTGTCTCTCTCATTGGTGAAAATGTATAAAAGGGTTGTCTGTCAATGGTGAAAATGTATAAAATGGTCATCTCTCATTTGCGCGCAAATGTATGAAATGGTCGTCTCTCATTGCCGTGCAAATTATCTGGTAGACAGTAACGGTTGTTTATAGTTAGTCACAAGACAAGATCTACTGAGTGTTTTGGGTTTTTTAGTTTACCTCATTTTTCTCTATTTGAGACAATATTTTTTTCTAGTATTTGAGACAATTGTATTTACTCATTTTGAGAGTGGTACCCAAATTTTTATAATACATGTAATCTTAAACTTTACAACTTTGTCATACACGTGAGTTCTTCTTTTGTGTTCTCGAGGTTCATTGTGTTATTTGTGGCTTTTAAAAAGATAATGCTGTTACAGAGAGAATGAGAAGATTCTAGAAAAAAACATGTACAGAACTCCTATTCCTTTATATGATTGGTTTAGTTTTAGTGAGAGTTTTACTGCACTTGCAACACAATAAGGTCATAGAAGTGCCGAAGAATAGATGTGTCGCAAGAGAGTAACACACACAAAAAAAGGAGAAGGATAGATAAGGACGATAGATGTTTTTTAAGAAAAAAGGAGCAAACCACATCAGAGCACCCGGCAACCACCCACTTTTGTGTTCTCGTGGTTTCACTGTGACAGGTGTTTTGTGTGGGGGGTTGGTGAGTGCTCTGGTGTTTTTTACTTCTTTCCAAGCAAACATCGACCGGTATCATCCTTAATATGTTCTCCTCTTTTTCCTTGAATATTACTCTCTAATAACACCTCTGATCTTCACCACTTATCTTATATCAAGTTATAATTATATATATGGCCTAATTGTGTTGCAAGAGCTGTAAAACTCTTACTAAAACTAAAGTCCATGATGCTCCCATAACTTCTTCTCTAGCCTCTGCTTGCGTTCTCTTATTCTCTTCTCGTTATAATCTACCACCAGTATAGTCGTGATCAACTCACAGCAATGAGCAAACTCATGGTCAATATCGCACTTCTCTAGACAACAAGGGCCCAGTTGTTTTAGTTTTAGTAAGAGTTTTATGGCACGTGCAACACAATAAGGTCATATAATATAAGTACGGTGCCGAAGATAAGAGGTGTTACAAGAGAGTATCAAATATCAGAAAAGAAGGAGGGGAGATAGGGACGATAGATGTTTGATAGGAAAGAAGAAGCAAACCACACCAGAGCACCCGCCAACCACCCACAGAGGCCAGCTGATAATGGCCATTAGATTATTAATATCACTATTAGGTGGTAAAAGTCATGCAAAAGGATGGGGATTGAAACTTTTATGGGAAGAATTTGTGGCTTTTAAAAAGAAAATGCTGTTACAGAGAGGATGAGAAGATTCCAGAAAAAAATGTACGGAACTCCTACTTCCCTTCCAGGATTTTCACAACGCTTTTTTGAAAATTTTAAGTTGTAAATTGATCAGAAACACAGAAACGACACACAATAGAAGTACCAGAAAACAAACACAGAAACGACACACAATAGAAGTACCAGAAAACAAACACAAAACAAAACAAAACCACAGTGAAAAAGGGGATCACATTCATTACTACAACTTTTATTTTCAACTCACATATTATATACTACACTCACACACAACAGCCATTAATAACAACACAGCACCCTACTCACATCCTTACATCACTACTATCATCATGCTGCATGAAAAGGAAGATGTCAAACACGTATGTTTGAATGTCCAGGAACTATGGCAATTCGAATGGAGTTATTTGGACAAGTGGAAGTGCCTCTAAGTATAATGACAATGGAGCCGAAAAAGAGTCAGGCTCTCGCTCGAAGATTTCTTCGTGGAGTCCACCAGGCCCATTAAGGAAACAAAAAAAATCATCATCATCTTCCTCATCATCAAACTCACGTCAAAACCATCTGCACCACAACCACCATTATCATCATTATCATCTTCCTCTATCATCTGTCGGCAATATCACTACCACAATTATCCTCATCCTCATCACCTGTTTTTTTAGGTTTAGCAGAGTTTTTACGGCGCTCGCAACTGCATAAGGTCATATGAGCGCCACCATCACCGGTACTTCCCGTACCACATGTTGTCGTAGCGATTGAGGAACTTCTGGCAGCCCATCACGTTGTTCTGCGCGCAGTACTTGAAGGTGAACGGGTTCAGGTTCCTCTCCTCCTCCAGCTTCTCCCGCGTCTCTCGCTCTGCCAGACTCTCGTGGGTCACCACGCGTGACCGGAACGGCAGGATCTTTTGGATCTGTGGGGGGAGTAGAGCGTATTGGTATTGGTTTAGACATCTATACATATTATATTTGTGAAGTGTGCTGACAAAATGAGTGCCTTCTCAGATTTTAGACTGATGGCAATAGAAACATCAAATTTATAGGTTGAAGTTTTACAATTTATCAGTATGAAGTGATAAAAGACATGTTAAACTTGAAAAGAATGGCATTGGTTTAAAGTCTACAAATATGACCCTTGTGTTGATTTTTGACTGATATCTCCATTCATGAAATCCGAGAAGTAACTCATTTAGTTAGCACGCCTCACATTTGTGAAAGTTCATCTCTTTGGCCGCCTAAAACTTCCCAATCACTTAACTTTCGAATTTGAAAAAATTAACGGTGGTTCAGAATCATTTAAAGGGGGCACAGTTCTATTAAGGAGTCTGATGTTTCTGTAGTTTAATTTCAGTTTTTCCTTAGTTTGGTTTAGACCTAATCTTGGGAAAGTTCGTCTTCTAAAACGCCATTGTAAACAAACCCACAGTGACTTGACGATCAATTCTTTTGATTCCGTTCATCCTGGATCGGTAAAGAAAAGTAAAGAGAGTAACAAACACAAAAAAGAAGGAGGAGAGATCAGGACGATAGAAGTCTGACTGATAGGAAAGAAGGAGCAAACCACACCAGAGCACCCGCCAACCCAACCACCCACTGATAGTAATACACAGACACACACAGACACACAAGAGAAAGAAGACACCTACCGCCTTCAACATGGGGTACACACACGCACACACACAGACACACACACAGACACACACACAGACACACAAGAGAAAGAAGATACCTACCGCCTTGAACATGGGGTACACACACGCACACACACAAACACACACACACACACTCTAACACATACACACATGAGCGAAAGAAGAGATACCTACCGCCTTCAACATGGGGTAGACCTCGACAAACTCGCACTCGCCGCCGACCTCGATGATCATCCTCTCCGCCTTCAGGGGGAACACGTAGTGGTCGATGGACCCTTTGCCGCCACCCATCCGTTGACCTTGACCTTTTTTGGTCACCGACTGCCACAGGTTTGTGATTCGCCACACTGGAAAAAATTTAAAAAACAAGGTAGTGAACACATTTGTAAGAGTAAGAGAGTGGGATTTTTTTTTTTTTCAGTAAGAAGAGTTTTACAGAACTTGTTTTAGTTTTAGTAAGAGTTTTACGCCACTTGCAACACAATAAGGTCATAAAAGTGTCGAAGATTAGAGATGTTAAAAGAGAGTAATAAACACAAAAAAGAAGGAGGGGAGATAAAGACGATAGAAGTTTGATAGGAAAGAAGAAGCAAACCACACCCGAGCACCCGCCAACCACCCACATTACGGCACTTGAAACACAATAAGGTCAGATAAGTGCCAAAGATTAGAGGTATTACAAGACAGTAACAAATTTTTAAAAAAAAGGAGAAATAAGGTCGATAGAATAGATGTTTCATAATGATAGAAAAGATGGAGCAAACCACACCAGAGCACCTGCCAATCCTCCACAAGTGTGGGATTGATGAGGTGGGAGGTGCATCAAAACTATCCGTACGACGTGGAGAACCACTTAACCCTATCCATACGTCAAGTTTTACTATTGTATCCATACGACATGGGGAACTCTGTGCCACCACATAACCCTATCCGGACCCTATCCGTACGTCATGTTTTACTATTGTATCCATATGACGTGGGGAACTCTGTGCCACCACTTAACCCTATCTGCTTCAACAGCACAAAGTCTGTTTTGACTTTCAAGGCACCCCAGAAATAGCAGGTCACAAGAGTGTGACAAACATACAAAAGAAGTAGAGGGAACATGACGATAGTAAGGATTAGGAAAGGAAAAGCAGCAGTTCCCTGTTGCAGGTCAGGCACAGTTATGAGCATGACATTGATGAATCAGTCCATTTACAGTTACAATTCTACTGTGCATCAGAACATGTTAATGACCCCCCTTTGGGGATGGCCTAAATACACTTAAGTCAGCGGCACTGCCCGGGGGGGGGGGGGGGGGGGGGGCTAGCGAGTGCGGATAGTGCAGTAAGAAGAAGGAAAAGACAACCTACTTGCAAACATATTCCTCTCGTCCATCTGTCGGACAATGATCATACGGATGGCCTCACAGTCCTTGTGCTTGAGTCTGCCGCCAGTCACAGCCTGTTTTTGGTGGTAGTTTTAGTAATTTTATTTTAGTAAGTGTTTTAAGGCACTTGCAACACAATAAGGTCATATAAGTGCCAAAGATTAGAGGTGTTACAAGAGAGTAAGAAACATAAAAAAGAAGGAGGGGAGATGAAGACGATAGACGTTTTATAGGAAAGAAGGAGCAAACCACACCAGAGCACTCGCCACCCACCCACATAAAGAGTTAAGATAATATTACAAACTGACCATGGCAAATAAACATGTGTATTTTGTAAAAATGTAACGTACAGGTTATACTATACATCAGTTGGTCACTGAGTTAGGATTTTATACAGAGTCAGCATGAGAAAAATTGAATTTCAAATATGTCTGAGTGTGTGAGTGTCTTTGATGAACAGTGCATATAATAGATAGTATTTGTATAGCGCAAATCCCCGCTCAACAGCAAGCTCTATGCCCTTCACAATCTATACTATTACCCCAGCAGACCTGAGAGCATTCTGAAACAACCTCAACTTCCTGGGAAGCATACAGAGCAAGCAGCCATTTATAGGCGCTAAAACACTAACATACTGACAAGATCTTTCGCCGTCTATGACCGGGTACCCATTTCCACCTGGGTGAAGTGAGGAAAATTCGTGTAAAGTGCCTTTCCCAAGGACACAACATCGGGCCTGAGGCTCGAACCCCGAACCTGCAACCTCACGATTACAAGTCCGGATGCCTGACCACAACGCCACCGATGCCACATGAGAAAAATCGTATTTCAAATTTTAGAAAAAATGAAGAAAAAGGAAGTACTGACAAAAAAGTAAACTAAGTTGAGCAAACTACATCACCAACGACCAACCCCACCCCGACAAAGAAGTAAAATAATATAAAGACTTTAATCACCAACAATGCCACGGCCATTTACACAGGGCAGACACATGAGCACTAGCTGTGTTGTTGATAAAATAGAATTCTTTAAAATGTGTTGCTATGAGCTGTATCGAAGTGCGTACATATCTCCAAGCTCAATCAATGAAAGGTGACACAACTTGCGTACACTTAATAGAAGGGAAATAAATGACGCTATCTAAAATTCATGTTGAAAGCGACACCCACCGGTACAAGTACAAGCGGAAGAAAAAAAAGTAAAAGTAAAGTAAGAAAGCGAAAGTACGTGGTATCGTTTCCTAACGTGACACTCGTCAATGTTAAAAAAACCCTCCAGCCAGTAGACTGAGCTGATAGTAACGGAGTACAAGTACTCCGGTACTTGTACTTACGTTACAATTTTCGGTACTTTTACTGTACTCCGGTACATTTTTTAAACCAGTACTTTTACTGTACTCCGATACTTTTTATAAAAGTACTTTTGAGTATTTTTAAAGTACATTTTGAGTACTTTGGTAGCTTAATGTAAGGGTAAGTGCAGGCATTTCTGATCATAATTTACGGAACAAAAACCCGATCAATCGCCAAGAGTTAAAAGTTGAGATCAAAGAACGGCCCGTCGCCTCAAAGATCAGCCACTATCGTGAATGTGATCACAAGCGTTGTAAAACTCCTTGAAACGGTACAGTGTTTGCTCCAGACGGGATCACACCAAGGTGTGAACTGACCGATGCGTTTCTTTTCCCCAAACATCGCACTCGCATCTGACCTCACCACCTAAACTTACATCACTCCCTGGGTGGGTAGGGCCTACAAGTTCGCTCCAGGCGGGATCACATCAAACTGTGAACTCTTCTTTGACCATTGAAAGCAGTTTTTCTCTATTCCCGAATTTGCGAGACAACCTGAATTTTAATTGGTGGGGTCACAACGTAATGGTGCGTAACGACAAAGGAGGTTGGGGGGGGACTCAATCAGAGATGGAAAGCTAAAATTGTTGGACAGGTAAAGGGGAGGGGCAACTAGATAAACGTAGATAAAGATCTCAAGACTCACGATAGGCTAATGAGTGTGTATATATAATATTATTTATGGCATGCCTCATGCCACTGTGATTGGTCATCAAGGTTGACCACTCTTTGCTTGCCATATGTCATAAATCCACCCAGGGGTCACGTCAGTTCATGGGTCACTGTAGATTCTTCCTTGGCTTCGTTGGCTAAGATCCCATATTTTCCTTGCTTCCGAGCACTGGGATCTTAGGCGGAGACTACTGCAGTAGAGAATCTTTGGTTACACTACACTTACTAGACTCTAGGAAACTATTGTATTTTAGTTTGCCGTTGGCGCCGTGGACTACACAGTGTGACCAAAATCTGTCAGACCACTATAATCAATTGAAACTGAAACTGTGTTCTCAATGTGTATCTAACAATTTTTAGGCTGCCTAAATCTCTTTTAAACTTTTTTTTGGTGGTTTTTGCTTAAGACTACATTGATTCCTTGAGGATTTGTTAATGAAGAATTCAATGCACTTTTCCATTTCTATGCGGGCCATTTTCATCAATTTTATGTTTTCTTAAAAGCAACTTTGTATCTACATTTTTCAATTTGGATACTCTTTCTGTAGAACTTTCCGACCTCAAGGACTGACTTACATTTGATCACATGTCTTGCTCAAACAAGTTCTATTCATAATATCACTTATCCACTAGTTGCGTCTGTTCGTTTGGGTTGTTTTTTGTTCAACTTCACGGACCATTTCCACCGTTCAGTGCGAACATTGCATATTCAAATGCTTTGTATACTGTTTACATTTTTTGTAATAGATAGCCTAATTTGTCAAATATACTGGATAAGTTATAAAATATTATGTTTTGTATAAGCGCTGAAGTGTTTTAGCATATTAGCAGAAAGTACTCAAAATGTACTCATAAGTACTTTTTTAAAAAGTACTTGTACTCAGGTACATTTCATAGGAAAGTACTTTTACTGTACTTAAGTACATTTTTTAGATTGTACTTAAATTTGTACTTAAGTACTTTTTAAAAAGTACTTTAACAGCTCTGCCAATAGAGACAGGCGGGAAGCGCTTTTTTCTTCCCGAGGGAGAGGACCGAGAAGCTGACCTATTTCTCGCCGGACCCGTCCCGAGAAGCTGACCTACTTCTCGCCGGACCCGTCCTGAGAAGCGCTTCTCGTCTCGCGACCAATTTCTCTTCTCGTGCTGTTCACGGGCAGCTCGCTCAGCGAGAAGGCCGGCTGTGGCGGGGATCTAAACTAGGCTAACCCTGTTGCGCAGGCGCAGGTGGTGAAGGAAGGTCGGGAGACCTAGGCCTAGGCCCTGATCAACTCCCCACTCGCCTCGTCCCTTTCAGTTTCAGACACGGGACGGCACGGTGATGGGTGACACTGTCTGCGTGTCATTTCTCGCTGGCTGTGCCGCTCTTTCCGTCGATACCTCTCACTCTCGTTATGTCAAGCCAACGAGCGGTATCACTTCTCGGTACCGGGCAGTAGTTTAGTGCCCGGGAAGTGACAGGAAGAGCATTTCTCGCGAGAAACGGGTACTCTTCTCGGCTCGTGCCCGCTCCTACCAGCCAGCGTACCTGGATGCCGTAGTCTCCGTACTGCAGTTTGTTGTGGACCGTCTCAGGCCCCCGCATCAGGTGCAGATCTTTCATCATCTTTGGGGGGCGAACACCAGCGTCTAGTGGCGGGATCTTCTCCATGATCTTCAGCCTTCGCCGCTCGGGGTAAACCACATCTGAAGAAACAATCCCATAGGGACAGACAGTAGAAACGGTAAACTGTATACATGTGCAAATTCGATAAGCGCACGCACACAGCAAGAGGAGGATATAAAACGACAACAGTTAGAAAAACTTCTGAAAAGGATTGTGGTTACAGTTGGTCGCTTTTTGGCACAAGGGGGCTATCCTGAAAAATGCTGTTTTGAGAAAATCGAATTTAAAGTTTTTGCCCCTTGTTCAGTTTCTTTAAAAGTCAAGGAGAGTTTTCTCTATGTAACCAAACTATACACATGAATGAAACCAAACTTTTCCTATAGGAAGAGCAATGCGCACCCTCTCTTTTAATATTATATGCAGGAAGAAAAATCAGTCTACTTACGGTCATAATTTGGAGGGACTTTCAGCTTAAGTGATGCTGTCAGCATCAGACAGCCATGAACATCTGCAATGCATACAAGCAAAAACGTATTATTTAATTATTGGCCAACTATGACTTTGTCGCCTCCCTCTCCCCCCCTCCTGACTTTTGAAAATTCAGACAGCATCACTATCACTGACCACACAGCTACCAGCCAAGGCCTGCTTAGTTTTATAGTAAGAGTTTTTACAGCACTTACAACACAATAAGGTCATATAAGTGACGAAGACTAGAGGTGTTACAAGAGAGTAACAAACATAAAATAGAAGGAGGAGAGATCAGGACGACAGATGTTTGATCGGAAAGAAAGAGCAAACAATACCGCAGCACCCACCAACTATTTGCCAACACAAGGAATGCTCCCCAAGAGGGTTGCTAATTTTAATAAAAATAGAGGTAGACATCACCACTATAAAACAACAGTTGGATCCTGCAGGCCCCAGCAAGACAAACCGCAAAAGAACACAGACTCTGTGACAGAGGCCTAAAATTATTTTCTTCTCCTCCACATTTAGCCGTTTCAGTTACCGTTTCGGGATAAAATGCGGGAACCACATTGAACTCCTTTTCATTTTAATCATCAAAATTTAAAAGCAAGTGCAGCAGCGAGTGATTAAATCGAAAGGAAAGGGTGGGATTCTCTGGTTTTGGTCCCAAGAGTACTTGATATCGATACTGACTTATTGACTTTTAAATGTTCAATGTTTCATCCGAAAGTGAAAGAGAGCGAGAGATGGCTGCTAATTTTTAGTACATATTGAGCAAGAATATTTCACTTATTTTTGACAATGGGGGCTTGCCCCTCTGACCTAATACTGGGGGTTTCATGGGAGCATGCCCCACAATTTGATGTTTTGCAATTGAATTAGGTTTGATATAGATCTGGACTAGATCTAGAGGGAGATCTCCCTCGCTGCGCAAAATCATATTATCAGCACACATGCGTCGAAAAGTAATCGTTTAGAACAAGAAGTAACAGTCAATGGAGCCAAAACCCATAATATTTATTGTTGGGGCCAAAACCTGAATATCCCAAAGGGATCACTTCATCTGAAATAAACTAACTGGATGACAAAAATTTTGGGTCAAGGCAAGGTCATGGGTCATGGTTGGAAGCTGGTGGGTGAGTGGAAGTGGTAAAATGATTAGGCTAGATTCTTTGAGTTGTATAATTGTAAAGGTAGGCACACTGAACCTCTAGTCTAAAGCATCCAAAGATCTAAGGCCAGACCAAAGACGACTTTCATGTTTACCACCGAAGAAGAAAAGAAAGTGAAAATGAAAGGCTGGGAAGGTGGAAAATACAAAGTAGAGTTCCAGTCAAAAGCAGACTCCTCTGCCTTCTTGCTTAGCTTGATTTTCTACTTGTAACATGAGCAACCTACCATATTTCAAATTTGCAAGAAGCAAGGACTTTGGGAAACGTTTAATGACGCAAGCTGCCATTGTTTTCATTTAATTTGAACTACTGAGAGGGCTTTCTCAGTGGTGCTCACATCGTTTTAACTATTGGGAAAGTCAGCCGGTGCTTATGACGCTAGAGCGATGATAAATTGAGAGTGACTTCCCTTGCTGGTTACGGAAAACTAAAACATGGACGTATTTTTATGTAGCATCGAAACAAATTAGCACGTAACTGGAGTAACTGCATATTATTATTATTATTATTATTATTATTATTATTATTATTATTATTATTATTA